ATATGATGAGACTCACCCCCGGAATTGACGGAGTGATCTGAAGGTATACTTTAGTAAATGCATCTGCAACTCCTCGAATAGTAGTAATAGTAATAGGTGTGTTGAGTTTGAGCTCGTTTTGTTAGAAGATTTTAAAGGAAAAAAATCAAATCAAACCACGAAGATAAGGTTATTAGTAAAAACATTTGTGTATTTAAAATACTTTAAAAATTGACGTATAACATGAGAGCTTAAGGTATGTACATGTGGACTTACCAAAAGTTTTTTTGTATGTACATAAGTTACACGATATCTAATTCAGGTTGAGGTTATAAATTAGGCGTAGAAAAGACCCAGAGGCATTATTAATAAATATTGAAATGTTGTTACGGTTAAATACTTTAAATTATACATTTTCAATTTTCAGTTTTATTTAAACTGCTTTCACAATAGCAGACCATTTCTATTTATTGTTCACCATCCTTAAATTTGAAAATTAGAGAAATTATGTGACTTACAGTGCTTGCAAATCATTACAACAATGCACTGGTAGAGAAATGCATGTTTAATGTAAATCGTACGCTTTTCAACTTCTTTGTTTGAAAATTGCAGACTATTTAAATACCACCAATGAGCGAATACATCGCGTGTTAAGAACTCGGACTGTTACAAATAAAGCAACTATCAGACATAAACATTTACAATTCACCCTACAACTGTTTCTACATACTTTATTATCCTTTACGTTTACAGTGCTCACAAACCAAGTAGTTCAATGATTTAAATAAATTTTATTTATTTATAACATCCATTTATAGAATAAGTGACACATGAGCACATAATCCACCTGAGGGTAAGTGGATGCTATGGTTCATAATTCTGTATTTGTTATTTAAATAAAGTAATTGATAGAATTCATAAGCAGTTTAGTTTTTGACAGTTTTTGAAAAACGGTCTAAATCGGATAACCTTGAAGGCCCTCTATATATATATATATATATATATATATATATATATATATATATAAAAAAAAATAAAATCTTTATATTTGTAGATTAAGAACAACAAAAAATATATTTCTACTCTATTCATCAGCAGAGTGACAATAATAGGGCTCCGTTGTCCTTTGGGGTCCACCAGTCATAAGCGGCATAACATAAATCTCACTTTGTTTTGCTGTAATGAAAATAGTTTTAACCAATAAAAATTATACGAAAATTAAGATATGATTTAGTTCATTCAATTACTTTTTTTAAACATAGATTAATTTGCTTGATGTTACACATGCCAAACTATCGTTGTGTAATTTTAAAACATTAAATATTAATTATCGTCACAGCCCTTCACAAGTCCATTGCTGAACATAGGCAACCCACAAGGAATACCATAAAGCAAGGTTCTGTGTCAGTTGCACTCATCGATATCCTGGATGTTTAACAAGGTTGGTTGCGCGGAAAACTAGTATCCTCGCATTTTGTTTAGTTGGTTGGTAGTTGGCCGGTGCCCTCGTCTATCCCTCCACACGCACTGAAAGGGGAGAGGAAACTAGAATATGTGGCGACATTTTTGCGGCCAATAAGAAACGGGCCCCGCCTAGATGGAAGTGGAGATGGCCGAAAAGGATAATCATGAGCTGTTCTTTTAGTTTTCTCTTTACTGTGTCCAGCTCGTATCTAGTTCCCGTGTAAGGGCACCGGCTAGATATAATAGATTAGGTAACAGCGTGTGCATTGCCCAAGCCTGCCACGTGCCACATCAGTCATCTTGATTTGGTTATACGGGAATCACGCATATACAGTCCACATATAGTTAATCTTGCATAATTGATTTAGCCCGACCCGGGAATCGAACCCGAGACCTTATAGCTCTACCAAAGGTCGTCACTCCTTGTAGAGAAGAGCTGTCCCACACTCCGCTTACCGGACGGTATAGCTTTGCTCACTCTTACGGGCCGAAGATGGAAGGTGATAAATTTGGAATACCAAATTAGGCGTTATGTGGGGATTGAACTCGTGTTGATAACACTATGTTTAAGGTCTGTAATGAAAAAAAAGTTATATTACTGCATTTGCCTGTGTGAGATTGTACTAAAAAAATGAATACAATTACATATAGAAAGCCACGATAACCTTTTTAAAACTTGATTCATTAACCGTTAAACGGCAATTTTGCATAAAAACGAAAACACAGAAATGTCGGTTTTCAGAATATACTCGTAGGACATAAAGTACACAGAAAATTTAACATATTTGGGTTATAAACAAAGAGCATGTATGTGTATATATTTTTATACAAGTACGTATAATGTTCGGTTGTACGGTGAGTTCGGAAATTACTTAATAAAATTGTTCAATTCTTTTGTTAGAAATGAGGGTAAAAAAATAAAAGGAAATGTGAAGAAATGAGGGTAGAACCTGTAATCTAACACCCGTTCTAGCAGTGTATAGTCTCGCGCAGGCAACTAAAAGGTCGCTGCATACAGGACGGAATCATAACGTGCACGGGACGGAGACGGGACGTGGTTGTTTGTCAACACGGACGGGAGTTTAAAACGGGCTACATACGACACGATATCGGTGGCGATCTAGGGTGGAAAGAAATCGGGGCTTTTATCGGGGTAGACCTTACACACGGGCCTGCATAGCAGTACGCGTTCGGACTTGGAGCGGAATGCATATGCGGTAGAGTTCTTCAAAATACCTCCGACTCTCTTAAAACACCACCGTGTTGGTTTGGCATTAGCCATCTCGGTTAATTTATTCGAAAATAGAAAAAGAGAAGTTGCTGGGTGAAAAAATGGCTCCAAAAGAGATAAAAATTAAGCCACATAAACGTACTAAATGGCATGTAATCCAAGGACGTGATTAATTTTCTCCGGATGGATGAAGACAGTTTCTATAACCTTCTAGAAATGATTTCGCCACTTATATAAAAACGTCAATTTCTCCTACCTATGGTCAAAATCTGGTTATGTACATGTACATGTATATGTACACACAACAAACAAGGAAATAAAATACTTTTGTATAATAATATGTATACTTTTTTTTTATGTAATCTTTATTTATGGAGTAAAACTATCAGAAAATAAAATAGCTTATATCTTTTTTTAAACATAAAGAAACCTTTAATTTCGGACATACTCCCTTTTATATAACTTGTTTGTTGATGTGGAGATGGTGAAGGAGTAGAAGTTAGTTGTTGATAAGAGGATGAAGGCACGTAAGAGATCGAAGTGTGGTCTTGTGGAGTTGTAAGAGATATGAGTGCGGTCTTGTGTTTATAGCGTTGGAATAGGAGTTAGTTGTTGAGGAGAGGCTTTATCTTCTCCTTACTTACATCATACACTCTACTTTACGAACGGCAATAAAAAAATTAGTTTAGTAGGCATTCTTGACCATGTCACTTCGCAGGGTCACAGGCTAGGGTGGATATGATTTGAATTTCGATAAAATTTCAATTAATTAATTTATTTTATTCACTTTTTTTGGTTTTTTGTAAAATATCAGTGCCATAGGCTTCTACTCCGTTTATATGATTAAAATGTAAAAATTTTGTTATATAAAAAAGGTCATTCAGTATCACTGTTTTGTTAACTTCCTTCCGCGAGGGTTGCCGGCAGCGACTGCCAAAAGAAATCGGGCCGATGCGCCTACACACACGCAGTAAGGAGGGGGCGGTGCCCCGATCTAGGAAGCATCGGCTGATCTAGGAAGCATTTTTCGTCCTGCCAGCCGATTAAGGAGGCGATATCGGCCACGACTTAGGATGGCCCTACATACGACACGATTTAGAGGCAATCTAGGAGGCATCCCCACTACTCCACCGTAGATCGCCACCGATATCGTGTCGTATGTAGCCCGCTTAATGCATACGCACCGTGACAGTGATTCGAAACTAACGTGTTAGTGTTGTGAAAGATTGATTTTTCATTTGAAGAATTGCCATTGATTGCTACTTCTCTACAAAGTTTTTTTCAATTCTCAATCGGCATTTTTATCATGCATGGATACTAACACCCTTATCCATAAACGCTCTACAAACACATTTTAACCAATACTCTGTCAAAAAAGTTGATTATATCTTTTTTATAGAGATTTACTTGAATTCTGTTGTATTTAATTCTACTGATGTAATAAATGTCGACATTGTAAAACATGAGTCTACTTTGTTTACGTACCTGTCTTTTGATTTGAGCATAAATAAGTTCAACTTTTATTGTTACCTATTAATCTATTCATCTATTGTAAAACTATGAAAACAATAAATGACAAATAAAATTTATACTAACCGTTTGCAGTGAGTTTCGACTCAATTTTCTGCCACAGAATTTTTTTTATATTTTGTGTCAAAATACTTTGGGTGTGCAAGATTATACAAATATTCAATTAGTTTTTCGTCGTCCATGTTGTTTAGTACGGCACGCGCATTACTACGGAGCCAACGTAGCGACTGTGAATACGCAGCGGAATCACGGACGGGACGTGGCACGCGCCGGACGGGACGGAGTAAAGATCGTCGCCGACGATGTTTTTCCCGTCCCGTTCATGCCACGTCCCCGTCCCGTCCGTGCATCCGTTACGTATGCATTATCACGTACATTTTCTATGAAACGATATTTCCAAAATTTCACGTCCCGCTCCGTCCGGAATAAAACACGTTACGTATGCAGCGACCTTAAGAGGGCGTCGGCGTTTAAACAAGGAGTTCCGTGTCATCTGCAGTACACTTGAATTGTATTTCACTCCTGATATTTTTGGCTTAGGCCCGTACTGGTTTATTCATATTCATGACTTTTTTTAGAATTTTCTATATACTTAATATATTTGATGATTAGCATTAGATCTTATCAAATACATAATAACGTAAAAATTTGCATTATATGTCGAAGCAAAGCCACGCAATTAAATAATATTTCATTAGAAACAATTATTTAGCACTTTTTAAGGAAAACTTAATAATTTAATTTGATTATTTCTTTAAGTACAGATTTTTCAATCATCTGATCAAATCCCCGAGAAATGCCACAAGGCACGGTTGGTCAGTAAGTCGGTGCAAAAAGGTACGGTTCTGAGATATCAGCATCCATGCTGGTAGTTCAGAACCGTGCCTTTTTGTGCCGACTTCCTGCTTTTCTTACCGAGTCGTCACTCCATCTAGTAGGGTCGCCATACACTTCGCTTACTGGTATGAGTCTGTTGTTACACCTGAGGATTTAGATGGAATGCCTCGATTCCAGTAAAAAGGGTCTCCAATTCTCTACACTAACCATACGAAAAACAGCAGCATTAGGGTGGTATTTTACGCTGGTATTCTGTGAGAGCGTGGTCCATCCCGGTGGAGACGACCCATTCGTGATACAACCATAATGTAGCAATTTTTTTCTCTATCATGTACAAAATTTCTACCACATCGGTTGTCGGTTTATTGAGCGATATTGTCGATTTATAGCCACTTCTGCTTACTGCAGCTCCATTGGGCTGTGACGGTTACTCTGGTTCTAGTGCTAGAGTTATTCTCATTTCTATACCTATCATGCAGATAAATTTCAAGCACGGCCCTCTCCATACCTCATTGAGTAACCTGGAGCTTTCTCAAATGACCAGCTAATAAAGAGAATGGAATGAAATATTTTTATTCAATAGCTATAATAATTTATATTCCTGTAGCTAAAGTATAATCATATAGAAACCTTTCTTATTTGTAAATATTTATAAAAGAAGATCACCCTCCGTTCAATAAAAGATGGACTTTTCTAGTTTCGCCCTTCAGTTTATTGCTTTTTCTCGATTCCTAACTAAAACAACTTTTATTTCCTTTCGCTTTTCTGATACAGAAATTGGGTTTGATACAAGGGATAAATGTGTATTATGAATTATGACTGAGGTGACATTGAAATGGGTAAAATTGTCTGCGTCGGGTCCTATCAAGATATCACTTTTTACTAAAATTAAGAAATAAACGTGATCTCCATTCACTAAGAACCGGGTCAGTAGGCAATGGCAGTTTTTTATTTTTGAGTTGTAATCAGGAAGACGCTGCTGCCCATCTCCTAGTTTGTTTCCCTCCGTCTCCTCACACGACACCCCCTGGACGGTATGGAGTAGTGGATTTTCTTACATCGCCACTAAACAGTATGTTATGTGACATTTACTAATTCACTAGCTTTTTCTTATCAATGATGTCGGGTTGAATAAAAAAGGCTACTAATATTGTTATACCGAAATCGTTATTTCTCCTATGGTGCTGAAGACGTAGGCCCCGGGGTTGGCTCTGGTTCTAACGCGGCTTTTCCGGTACTCCTACTCCCTAGGAGTAGTCCCGAAATCATGGAAGACATCTGACAAAGGTAACCGCTCTGATCCATCCAACTATAGGCATATCGCCATCACCTCCTTGTTCGTATTATTAACAGCCAGCTCATGCGGTACCTTGAGGATCACCAGTTCATTAGTGACCGCCAGTACGGTTTCCGTCGCAGTCTCTCGGTTTATGATCTTCTAGGTTACCTAACTCATAAATGGGCCAAGGCATTATAGTCCAAGGGCCTCCCCCTTGGACTCTACTGCCTTGGCTTTGGCTTGTTGGCTTCGATCGGGTTTGACACAAAGCGCTTCTGACGAAGCTTCCTTCCTATGGGCTTCCTGAGAAATTGTGCAATTAGATCACCAGTTTTCTTGCTGATCGGAGCATCAAAGTCGTTGATCGGAGCATCATGACATGTTGTAAATCGGTAGTATTCATTACTATGCAGACGACAGCACTGGTGATGCTTTATACACCGGCCGTGTCAATATTTATTTGGGGAAACGTCGCCGAGTACCGGAACAAACTTGTGCCTGAACTCGAGACTTTGTTGAACAAAATCTCGGACTGGGGGCGACAAAATCTAATTCAGTTTAATCGCGAGAAGACACAAGTTTGCGCGTTTATCGCTAATAAAACCCCCTTCGTGGTATCTCCTCAGTTTCAAGGCACTCACCTTGTTGCACACATCGACATATCGAGTGACGTGCAGTTTCGTGGTCACTTGGAAGAGAAGGCCAAATTGGCCTCTAAAAAGCTTGGCGTGCGCAGCAGAGCGGGAAGGTATTCCGTGGCGACTCACCGCCTGCAACTTTACAAGGCACAGGTTCGGCTGCACATGGGCTACAGTTCCCATCTCTGGGCCGGGTTTCCCTAGTGCCAGCTCCTTCCATTTGATCGCATCTAGTGCAGAGCATTTTGAATCGTCGGTGAACGAGCTCTTTTCGATCGGCTTGACTCACTGGCACTGCGAAGAGATGTTGAATCTCTTTGCGTATATTATCGCATTTACCACGAGGAGTGCACTGAGGAATTGTTCGGACTAATTCCTGCCGCACAGTTTCACCATCGCACATCGCGACAAAACTCGCGATACCATCCATACCATCTGGATGATTGGCGGTCCCAATCGCTAAGCGATTTAAAAGAAGTTTTCTTTCTCACATAACTTCATTGTGGAATGAAATACCACCAGAGATTTTTCCGGACCGATACAACTTAGGGACTTTCAAGAAAAGAGCCTATTCCCTTTAAAAAGGCCGGCAACGCATCTGCAATCCCCCTGGTGTTGCAGCTGTTCATGGGCGACGGTAATCACTTACCATCAGGTGAGCCGTATGCTCGTTTGTCCCCACTCCTATAAAAAAAAACGAGTACATAGTCCACCTCATGATAAGTGGATGCTATCTAGCTAGATATCGATATAGATATCTAGCTTTGATTGAGGTTCAAAATGCGAGAGTCAGAGTGAACTCCTTACCCGGTCGAGCGAAACCATTTACGCTTTAACCATAATATAGGTGTAGCAGTATTGCAAATGGATTAAGATCTTTTTCTTATGCACGGCAATATCCGCCCACATACACACAACGTAATGTAGCAACTCTGGACTCTAGCGCTGTCTATCCCTGAACTTAAATGCGATGGCTCACGCGCGGGATATGCTTAAACAAAAGATGTACAAAGATTTTCCAAAAATCTGGTGACAGGAAATATTATTATTTCTTCAAACTCGGGACCGTATTCTACAAGAAGATATTGATAATTGAGTGTAGATAATCGTTGCAGAAGTGTTATTCCCATACGTAGCGGCTTTCCAGAATTTATTCAAATTTAATTTAGATTAGTCTAGTTTTTCTCTTTAATCACCAAAAAAGATTCATATAAAAATGCTCCTTTTCATTTGTACAATAAAAGTCATTTTTCACGGAAAGAACAAGATTTTCATTCAATTTTCTGTAGAGCATAAAATAATACGCATTTTAATATAACGGTGTTTTAAGAACTGCTTGTCTAATCTGTCTGGATTGAAATCAACGTCTGTCTGAATTGCTGTATATATATATATATATATATATATATATATATATATATATATATATACATACATATATGTTGTTATATATATATATATATATATATATATATATATATATATATATATATATATATATATATATATATATATATACTGGATTTGTGTCAATCGTAGGAGTAAAGAATTATCTAGAATATATAACTAGAAATTAAGATAAAAACGATGTTGGCATAATATAGGTATTATAATTCTTTATAATAATTAAATTTACGAACTTTATTTTTTATTTCTTAATATGATTTTCTTTAAATCCATATTGTACATAGGTCACAGACCTGCAATTTAAATTTTTATGTAATAAATAGATTTTAGATTGAATCCAACCATCTATGCATAGTTATAGCCTATAAGAGTCCACTGCTCAACAAAGGCCTCCGTCGTAGATTAGCTCGTGGGGGGATTTTGCCATAGTTGCTACGCTTAGTAAGCGGGTTGGCAAACGCAGTTTTTTATTATTTTTAGTTGTACAGGAAGATTCAGCTGCCCATCTCCTGTTTTATTCTCCCTCTGTCGCCTACGACACCCTCGATTAGGTCTCGACCTTAGATTGAAAGAAAGTATTTACTATGGATTTTAATGCGAGCGTTTCGAGTACTTTGCAGGACCTGTAGTCTTTCGTGATCATTAGTGTTGATTGCTGCAGAACGCGCATAAATAAAACGATACCTAGGGATAAAAGTTTTGAAACATTGTTGTTGTTAAAAATACATTTAAATAAAAGAGCAGTTTAAATAAAAAATAAAATTTGACATTTCTCTTAAGATTTGTACGATTAACGTCCAATTTTACTTTGATATTCCAAGTGAAGAAATTTGAAATTAAAGCGAGAACCTTTGAAATAACTTTATGATTGCTTTAAGTCTTTTGCTTTCTGACTCCCTTTTAAGTGAGTTAAAGTTGTTCTTTCATTCGATTTGCGTAAACCCCACAAAGCGTCAATCGATATCGTAAGAATTAAAATTTATGACTACGAACAATTTAACCAAGAACGCATTTTGTATGTATTACATAAATATTTATTGTACGAATACTTATAATACATTCCATCCACTAGGTTTAAGGGAAACTCAATCCCTCGTTAGTATTCTGTTTTAATGTATCTAATTAACACAAAAAAGTCTTGTATTATCAGTCTAGAAACTGGTTACTGACCATTGGTAGATAACCACGAGTAGATTTATGTCCACATCCGGCAAGAGACAATACAGTGGCCGACGCTGTAGTTATCTACATCTACTAGTAGAAATCTAAAGTGTAGGTGGCTTTTCTTTAAAACACCTTCACCGAAATATCATAATTCGTAAAAACCAAGAACCAAGTAGTAAGAGGTGACTTTGGGGAACATCAGAAAAATTATATAGCTTTTTCTGACGTTCTCAATATCATAATTGAACATCTCGTAGACGTTATATACACAGACCAGCAACGGGCTGCAATGTCAAAGGTGCGAGAAGTTTTGTAACTACTGTGATCTTCAACCTACCTGGCAAGCGTGAGAGTTAAGGAAATCCTCACTATAACGGGAGGAACCAATTTCCAGCACGGGCATGCGAACAGGCATCAGCCTGTGATGAAGAAGAATAAAAAAATCAATTAAAATTCAAATATTGCAACTACTTTACTTCTTTACGTGGATGAGTCATGCTGCAGCTATATTATTGTTGTAGCAGAATGGGGCGTCTCGACTGGGGTAGGACCAAGCTCTCACAGAATAGTGAGTGCAGAGAACAGGATATATCGTATTTACCGAAAACGAGGCATTCCATCTTAGTCCTCAGGGGTGATAATGCATCTGCATTTTGATTCTTAATCGAGAATAAATGTAGATGTCTCTGGGCCACAGCAACCACTATCAGGTGTACTGTGTGCTCGTTAGCCACCTTTATTCTATAAAAGAAAATTTTCTAGTAGTGCGAAGCCTGTCCCATAAAGAACTTTACCTATAATATACCGACTAGTTTATTTAGGGTGACGTACCTAAAAAGATAAAAACAGTTACGATGTGTGTGTTATCAAAAACTTATGTTTTATTGTATGGTATGAAGACACAATGGTCCACAAAATGTTGAAGCCGTAGAACTAACCGATATTTAAACGGTGATTCTTACCACCATTCTTCACACTTAGGTACCGTGGGAAAATCTTTATATCAGAGAACTCAAGGAATCTGTGACAGTAAGCACCTGGCCGCCGAGCTTCAGCACGTCAAGCAAATTTTTAACGACAATAAGCTTCGGATCCCGCGCCTCCATTTAACTTATTTTAACTTTCTAACTTTGTTGTAAATATTAATTATGGTAAAATCTATTACTAGCTGATAAAGAAGTGGACGAAGATGAAAAGTATAATAAAATAAATGTTTGGTAAATGTGCTAATGGTAATAATGCTTTGTATTTGCCAATATTAATAATAAATGTGTTCTTGTGATAAAACAGTCAGTCAGCTCAAATACTAATTTCGTCCCCACTTGCCCGCGCGTCGTACGCTATGTACCAACATGTTTGTAATCACTAATACTGTAGTAGAAAGGTCGTTAGACACTTATTTCATTAGGTTTATCATATTTATGCCTGTTTCTTAACGCCAAGCCAGTCGCTTCTTATTTTTATTACGGTTATTTCCCATTTTAATTTTATGTCGTCCTGTTGCGTAATGTACATTCTGATCGTAAGCGACACAATCCCCCCGTTCAAAGGCCGAAGCGAAGTGACCGTGCGGCAGGAATCACGCTTCAAGAGGCCGATAGTTTAGGTAATTTCTTTTTACAGTGAAAATAATGGTATTTTAAAAAAAAAGTAAATAACATAAGCACTGCTTTATAGTTAGTTCAATTAGTATGCAAAGTTTCATGATCTTATTTAAAGTATTTTATGAATAACAGCGGTTTATTGTTTATTTTGGAGGTAACTTTGGATTTTTTTCTATCGAGAAAATTTTACGAAATCGTGTTTTCTTCTAACATAATCCTTAACATTAATCCTCAACTTTACCATATATTTATTTCAAAATTAATGCTGCAATATTTTCGGTATAACGAAGGATCTTGTTAAGCCATTTGAGATTATATTTCCCCTTAATGCTCCAGTAATGCAATTGATAATAATTAATACAATAAAGTTACTTAATCCTCAAAACGTGTCATCGTATTGTTTGATGTAAATGCTTGGTGTTAATATTCTTCAATATAACTACTTCCCATTTACATCGATGTAATCCGGCTGAAATGTTTCCATTCATTGCTATTTGTCATTATAACATGAATTGTTGTCATGTTTTATTTTAAAAATTAATTAAAGAAGCTCTAAAGTGAAATAATGAGTTTTCCATTCTTAATGCAGATTACAGATATGATAATAATAAACTTAAGTCATTTGTAAGTATATTATTTCAGGCTTAAAGGATATAACGACTGCTTGCTAATGCTAAAGAAAATTGTAATTAGTATCTAAAATAAAAGCTCAAAGAAAATGAGAGAAACAGAAAAGTTGGCTTTTAAGAAATTGGTTTTCTAGACCTCGAGTTTATTTGAATCGATTCTTGCATAGCTTAATCAAGTTCAAATTAATAAATCGTTAATAATATGGATATGGTAATTACGAGGGACTAATTGCGCTGATTTAAATCATAATAGAATAAAATTATATCGATAGAAAGAAATCACAGTTACCTAAAGATTACAATTACATACATACTGGTAAATTTTATAGTTTGTAACCCTGTTTACGTTCCTAAATATTTTTTGTAAATATATACTTGTTTAAATAGTTTTTATTTATTGTTTAATATATTTAGTTTAGCATGAAGTAGTTTAATTTTTATTGTTGGTAATTCATATGCATATTATAGAAAAAACTGACCAGATAACTAAGGTAACTGCTTCTTTAGTCCAATAGTTGTAACGCGATTGCTAATCTCTAGGTGCCGGGTTCGATCCCTGGTCAGGGCTAAATCAATTGTTTGTTTTTTTACCTTATTATTATTAAAGTTTTTACTTTATAGTTAGTTTAGTATAAATTCACTGCCTGTGCATAGTTTTTAGATTTGAAATTGAGTAACTTATTTATTTCCTTCTGAAATATGTAAATATAATATGACAATTTCGTTATTTGTTTTGTTGTTCGCTATATTCCTATCGACTTATTTATGTACAACGTGTTTTACACACGATCTTTTTTGGCGCGGTCGCGGTGCACTAAAATATAGTCTTTCAGTCTAAAGGTTGACTCATGCTAGACCAAGTCAGGTCCGAGCCGAATGTCGGCCGGTTCCTTGCCTGAAACTACAAAGACGAGCCTCGACCGAGCAATTACCGTTGCGCCGTGATGCTGTATGCTCATCTGAGCAAAAATAGTGTTATAACTAGACTACAATCATGATGAAGTTTGACGATCTGAAATTAGCGGCTATTGCGATCGCTCTGAACGATGAATAATCTAATAAATCTTCAACTACAAGGCAGGAACGGGTTGTTGCCGAGCGTTGTCCGTTGCTCGGCCGTCACTCGGTTTCCGCTCGGTATAGCGTGATTGTGTCCATACAAAATATATGTTATATTAGTTGACTCGCCCGCTCGGCTCGCACCAGACACGGTCTAGCGTGAGTCATAGATAGTATAGTCATCAGATAATATACTACATAATTGCGACTGATGCCTGAAACAAAATATATGTTCTTAAAGCCTCGTGAGACGAATGAGAATTTCGTTTAATATATATATATTACGTGAGGTATAGATACTAAAAAAACATCCTAATATCAACATATAGGCTGGGTGACTACCACCTGCGTTGGAGCCATATAATCAATAAAATTAAAACTAAACCCAAGCATACCACTGCAAGACCTCAAGGACATAATTCATTTTGCATAGATCGGACCATAAACAAACACTAATTTAAAAAAAGCTGAAGGTACTCCGGGTTTAACAATGACATCGGAACGTCAGTCATCTCAGTCCCCCGTGACCATGGGTGCTGGAAAGCACCCGAAACGTCAGGAATTAAAAACAAAAATAATTAAAATTAAACGCGATAAAATCCATAAAAGTAGTTTTAATCAATTCGTTTAATATAATTATAGTAAGCGCCAAAATGCATTTTATTAAATAACTTCAATTTTTAACAATTCCTAAGGACAGCACTAGATATTATATAAGTGATGTCATTTATTAAATTCTTTGCTTGATAATGTGTACAACGAACAGAAAAAATTGGTTCACGAATATAACGAGATAATCTTGTGATTTTATTATCAAGAACATTGTATTCTATAATGTTTTTAAAGAATGATGTACCTCGCAATTACGAAATTATTATATCCATATTTTTTTGTACTTGATTTAGCTATGAAAAAATCCGACCTACGATTGGAAATTTGTCTTTGTACTTGTTCTTAAACAAGAACACATTTTTTTCCGAGAAATGTTGATGTATAAATCTAAACTAATTAAGAACACGTCTCATATGAGGAATTGTGGTTTTCTGAACTTCGGGAAAATAAACATAGATTTGCGTTATCTTTTACGTGATTTACAGCGTTACAAAATAAATTTAAGTGCTTCTTATAGCATTTTGTATGTGTATTATAGTAAATAAAAGATTATTGTTTAGATCTTCGTGTGTTTATTTATAAAGTCTATTACACATGTTGTTTTTATATTATAATTTATTATCGCAGGCCACAATGTTCTATCAGTACAAATGCAAGAGAGCGAGAGAGTGACTGGGGAAATGAGAGAGGTGGTTATTCTGACCATGGAGGTTAGAAAACAGGAGAACGATCGCCGTAGAAAATAGTGTCCCAGAAATATGGACACCATAAGTGAGGCGCTTCGATCGCTAAGTTCGCTCAATAAAAGTCGTTTTCAGTCTATTTTTTCCGATCAGATGCTATAAATCACTTGCACATCCACGCACAATAAAATATTTCTCCATTTCTTTATGTTTTATTTTTGTCAAAAATTAAAAATTACGGAGCATGAAAATTATTTTAGAGCTACTGAGCAGTTTAGCAGCACACTTAAACCGTCGACAACTGCTAAGTTCATTTCATCCCAGTAGCTACTCCAGCGCTGTTGTGGAGAGTTTTTAAACTGTTATTTACTGCTTACAGATGGCCACTTTTTCAACTATTCTACTATGGGAGTTGGATTGGTACTCTTTACTTCTAAACTCCATAGGCTATGCTTTAATACGTAGCGATCGTTCTCCTGTTCTTTAACCTCCATGATTCTGACATTGACAAGCTGCAATCTGATAAAGCTGCGTTCTGATACTACATCATCCCTTTTCTAAACAATTTAAAAAATATGTAAAATTATATAACTCAAATTTTACAAGTTATACAGTAACCAAATCGAAACTTCAAATTTATGTTTGTACAAATGTAAGTTCTCATATTCTACTTAATAACTAAATTATCCACTTATCATTCCTTTTTATACATATACTACAATACTTAAGGTACTACAGTACTAATATGAAGTAACGACGTAATAAGATATGCAAGAAGTTGATGAACTCAAATGACTCAGGATTGCGCTAATGCCAACTTATTAATGATGACAATGGTGATGATGATGAAATTAAAATAAAGTGGTTACTGCAAATCACAATAAAAAAGTAAAGAATAGGTGTAGTCTATGTGTGTCCCGCTGCTGATCACAGGTTTTATTGTTTTTCAAAGATGCATATGGAATCATGTTCTATCAGAATTATGTACGGTCAAACTCATAATATCTAGAACATTGAGGGGAGCAGTCTAAAGTGTGAAGCAAACTTACTTCGATTCCTTCTGCTGCTTAGGTCAATTTCCTCCACTGAAGTGTCCTTTGTCCAATAGTAAATGTTTCAAGACAAACGTAAGATGATAATAAGTCAATATTTAATTTAATAGTAAATAATCAATTGTTACAAAATATATATACGACCTTTTTTAAAGGGACTAAAATTTATAAAACTTCTTTTACTTCTTTTTGTTTTTTTTTTAATTCTTATAATGCTGTCCGATTCTGAACTTTATTTAATATTTTAAAACTAGTTCACGGAGAAGTTAATTTAAAATCAATTACTAAATTCAACACGAACAGACATACACTAAAGCGAGTTAATGAAAACGTGGTAACGTGGTTAAATAAAAGCAGTCTATGCTTTAAATAAAAATGTTAATGTTCGTTTGCTTAAAATCCTAAATCTCCGAAAGTTTTTCACCGATTACTTAGAAATCGAAAGAAATAAAACAACGCAAAGTTGCGTTCGAAGAAGCGTGTGTTCTTACATACTTTTAGAAAAACTTTTTGATTTACAGCAACGCGTGACCGATTAAAGCTAGTATAAAATAAAATTGACAGTAACGTGCGCTTTTTAAACAACACACACAAACACTCAAATAACAACGAACGCTTTATTCCTTCCCCTTCAAGTGTATGTCCGCACTTGAAGAGACTCAATTTATACGTTCATTTTATGCTCGAGTCATTGTACAAGTCTAAGTTACCTATATAATTATGGAAACACGAGTGAGATATCACTTTGTTTACATCCGAGGACTAACTTAAGAGTTACGGACGGACATAGAAATAGCATATTCGAGTACTTACCAGCTATAATATTTCCCTCTTTAGTCACTATTCTTGGTTTAAGCTTGTAATAAGATAATTAAAAATAATCTTTCTAAGTGACAGAAGCCATCATAATTTCTTAAGTTTCTCGGAATACTCTGTACAAAAATGCATTTATTTTATCATGTGCATTCACTGTTTCAAAATTAAAGTAATGATACTGAAATTAATTTACTTTGAACTAATTTTAATATGTAAATGTTTCAATGAATTTTAATATCCCCTCCGGTCATAATTTTAATTGCTTTTGCTGCGGAACATTCAATTATGATAAGTGGTTTATTGTTTTTGTCCTACGCATTTTTATTTCTTCGATTCACATTTTAAATTGAATAATATGTAGTATTTCACGTATGATAGCGACGAAAGACATCAATTATCCATTGACTGTCGTCAAATTCTAGTTACGGAAATACCTAGATTATTTTAGTGTACGAAGTGAAGTCGATAGAACTGAAAAATATAGAAGTCGACGGCATATAATATAATACGTTGGGAGGTTATATTGTTAAACATCTTTATAATATCACATTTATGCATATGTCTATGAATCTATTCTTAAATACACTAAGAATTTTATTACATCACGCTGATAAAAGACTGATAAATATAATATTTTCGATGTTGTTAGCGAATATTTCGGCTGCAACATCATTGTTAGAATCTAATATATGATCAAACGAACTTCCCAGTGAAGTTCGATCATTATTACGATGACTTGCTTCATTTTAAGATATGATTATAACAATGTATTTTCCCTACTTACTTGTTAATTTGGCACATATTTTAAAGATTTTTTAGCGGTTTAGTGACGTACTTCCTGTATGGCTGCCTTGTGTTGGCGCTTTGACGTAAGATATGATACAAAACTTTCTGTATATCTGGGATCTTCATGAAGGGAGGGAGCTCATATCTTCAAATGAAGCAAGTCATCATAATAATGATAGAACTTCACTCGGAAGTTCGTTTGATCGTATATTATAATTCCTTGCTTCATTTTTCAAATACGATTATAAAGATGTAGATGTTAAGAGTCAGAAAATTTTAGAGTGGAAAAGAAAACACTAAGTTACCAAACCTTATAGTTATATTTTTCAACGAATCAGCCTTATAGCTATAACAGTTTATCAAATTAAGTGAAATTAACATAAACCTCTAAGCATTGATTAAGACCTGGTCCCTAAAAAAGGCGACCGCTCAGACCCGTCCAACTACAGGCCCATCGCCATCACCTCCTTGTTCTCCAAAATAATGGAATCCATTGTAAACTGCCAACTCAAGAGGTACCTTGAGAATCACCAGCTGATTAGTGATCGCCAATACGATTTTCGTCGTGGTCGATCAGCTGATGATCTTTTGGTCTACTTAACTCAAAGATGGGCGGCGGCAGTACAGTCCAAGCAGGAAGCATTGGCCGTTAGTTTGGACATTGCGAAGGCCTTCGATCGGGTTTAGCACAAAGCGCTTCTTTCGAAGCTCCCTTCCTATGGGCTTCCCGAGAAATTGTGCAATTGGATCATCAGCTTTCTTGCAGATCGGAGCATCAAGGTCGTTGTAGACGTTGCAAGCTCCGATAACAAGCCTATTAATGCTCGTATTCTACAAGGCTGCGTACTATCACCAACGCTGTTTCTTTTACATATCAATGATATGTTGCAAACCTGCAACATTCACTGCTATACAGATGACAGCACTGGTGATGCTCTATACACAGGCCGTGCCAATATTTCTCGGGAAAACTTCTCAGAGTACCGGGACAAACTTGTGTCTGAAGTCGAGTCTTTGCTGAACAGAGTCTCGGATTGGGAGCGACTAAATCTAGTCCAGTTTAACCCTCAGAAGACACAAGTTTGCACGTTAACCGCTAAAAAGAACCCCTTTGTCGTATCTCCTCAGTTTCAAGGCACTCCCCTTGTTGCCTTAGCCAGTATCGGAATCCTCGGCGTCGACATGTCGAGTGACGGGCAGTTTCGTGGTCACTTGGAAGAGAAGGCCAAATTGGCATCTAAAAATCTTGGCGTGGCACACCGCCTGCAACTTTATAAGGCGTAGGTTCGGCCGCATATAGAATACTGTTCCCATCTCTGGGCTGGGGCTCCCCAGTGCCAGCTCCTTTCACTTGACCGCATCCAGCGCAGAGCGGCTCGAATCGAAGACGACCGAGTGCTTTGCGATCGGCTTGATTCACTGGCGCTGCGAAGAGATGTTGCATCTCTTTGCGTATTTTATCACGTCTATCACGGGGAGTGCTCTCAGGAATTGTTCAGATTAATCCCAGGCGCCAAATTTCATGAACTCACTACGCGGCAAACCTCCCGATACTATTCAAACCATCTGTATGTTTGGCGGTCCACCACTGTACGTTTCACTAGGAGTTTTCTTCCGCGTATGACCTCTCTGTGGAATAAGTTACCACCGGCGATTTTTCTGGACCGATACGACCTGAGGACCTTCAAGAAAAGAGCCTTATCCTTTCTAAATGGCACCGGCAACGCACTTGCAATTCCCCTGTGTTGCGATTGTTCATGGGCTGTGGTAGTCACCTAATATCAGGTGAACCGTATGCTCCTTTGCCCCCTCTACTATAAAAAAAAATGGCCAGTACTGCAGAACGCCAATTTCATAGGTAAAGACCTATAACAAAACCCCTTATCCAAGTTGCCGAAATTATTTGACTCAACAGTTGGGTAATATATAATATTTGTTCCTTAATTTGCTTTTATTGAATGTATTATAAGCTATATTATACACTATTTAAAAGAAAGTTGAAGAATCTCGTTTTTATTTCAGCTTTTAGCTAAAGCTATTCTTAAGCAATGCACAGGAACGTATTGTTCTATTTACTATTGTCCTTCGCATTTAAAATTGTGAGTATCACTACGCAAGTAGCCGTGCTCGTCGCATCATAGAAAGAAGATGTTGATTATATTGTACAGTGATTTAAACAGGGTTTATAAATTATTTAATGTAATCTTCTTTGATTATACATCACCACTGCTGAACATAGGTCTGCCCATTGATTGCCTCATAGAGGAAATATTTGCCATAGTTGCCACGCTTGGCAAGTAGGTTGGCAACCGCAGTTTTTTATTTTTAGTCGTTATTAGGAAGACAATACCGCCCATCTCCAGATTTGTTCCTCTCTGTCGCCTCTTACGACACTCACGGGATGATATGGGATAGCGGATGTTCTTACACCGCCAGTACGTGGTACAAAAAATAAAAAGGTAAAAAAGCGACTTACTATTATATTTTATATACTGTTCAAAACCTACAACCAAAGTTTTGTTAATAATAATAATAATAATAATAAAAATAAAATGGCGTAGGGAAGTGACGATCCCATCGCCCGTTGACGTAACGGTTATGTGACAAAACCGCTACGTCCGCGCAGTCAGTCAGCACCTTGCCAAGAGGTGTGAGCGCCGTGCCTCGGCAAAAATTGATGGTGCAAGGGCCCGCTTGTGCATATGGCCTCACCATAAAATGGCGCCGGGTCTGGGCTTCTCCCGTTAAATGACGCCCTGTATGGATGATGGAACACAGAAGATTGCGCAAAGGGCCGCTGCCTGGAGGTCGTCAGGGCGCGTCTGGAGCTGGCGCTGGACGCGACAGCATGCGAACCGCCAGCCGAGCGCGAGGTGCTGCACGACCACCCAGCAGCCCCTCGCATCCATCATCCCCACCAGCTTGCTTGGTGTCGGCAGGGTCTTCGCAGACCCAGCAATCGGCACCCGCCACTGGTGGAGTACGCCGCATGCGATGGACCATCGATATGAATTCAAACGCATTGCGGGCGTATTTTAGGGCGAAAGGGGGAGAAATTGGAGGTTTCGCGTATCGGCCTAGGATGCATCGTCTTTTTACTGAGCTGGAGCCATCTATTACTGTCTAGACTACCTGGCAGACCGAGTTCGGTATATCTTACGCTCAAATATATTTGATGGCGCCGAACTCGAACGGCTACGACGTGAGGCTGTTCCCTCATTAAATGAAAACGCTACGACTGGGGGTGCGGTGCCACAAGTTGCAGAACAACCCGCACACGTGGATGCCGCCGAAAATACCCCAATGGTTGCTGATTCAAATGATGATGGAACATTCACCCAGGAACTAGAAATAGAGCAAATGAGGAGTACATTGGAAGAGGCGATTATGGAAACGCGCAGTACGCCTCTCGAAAATCGACCGCGACTTCCCCGCATAGCCCTAAGCTAGCGGAATCGGGCTGTCGTGAGGGCTCTGAACCCAATGCTGGTGACCTATTTGGAAGCCAGCCGGGACCTTTGCGAGACGGACTCAATTCTCTTTGGCGCCGCACTGGCAGTCTGCGTATTATAGGCGCCAAACTTTCCACGGCTGGACGCACTACTGGACAAAGTAGTGCTAACCCAGCCTGGAGAACAAGAATTGAAGAACGTATCGCAAAGGCTAGGGCCCTCATCGGCAGACTGATATGCTTCAGGTCAGGTAATACCAGGCCAAGGATTGTGCGCACCGTCAGGATGGCGTTTGCTGGGACAAATGTTAGTTTGTCCCAGCCGGATATAATGCAAAAACTGACGGAGCGCATAGACGACCTGAAGCAGAGAATCGCTGCTTGGGGAAAGCGAATTCGGCGATATACCGAGAGGTCGACACGGTTCAACCAGAATCGTCTCTTCCAGAGTGATCAGAAGAGGCTCTATAAATCATTGGAGCGACCAATGGTAAGTGGAACGGGCCCAGTACCGAATCAGGCCGACACGGTCGCATTCTGGCGCAGCCTGTGGTCAGAGCCCGTAAACCACAACGAGGGCCCTTGGACGGAAGTTGTGGCGAGTCAGTGTGCGGGTATTACGCCCATGGACCCCGTCACCATAACGCCGGATGACGTAGCTGAGGCGGTCCGTAGGGCCCCGAACTGGAAAAGTCCGGGACTCGACGGGCTGCGTCACTACTGGCTGAAGGGGTTCGTGGTGTGTCACACTGTGCTCGCCCGACAGTTTCAAGAGGTTCTCAACCAGAAGTCGCTCCCGAGCCTCTTCACTACTAGGATCACCCATTTGGTTCCTAAAGGCTAGGGTACCACAGACTCGAGCAAATACCGCCCCATCACATGTCTACCGACCATATACAAGACACTAACATCCATTTTGAGCGCGAGAATCACTCGTCACCTGGACTCAAATCAGGTGATGTCGCGCGCTCAAAATGGATGTCGGGGCGGCGGTCGTGGAACCAAGGAACCACTCTTCATTGACGCGGTCATTGGCAAAGTGGTGAAACGCAACCGTCGGAACTTCTCCGCCGCCTGGATAGACTACAGAAAGGCATTCGACTCGGTGCCCCATACATGGCTAAAGAGAGTCCTCGAACTGTACAAGATAGACTGTACAGTTAGAGACTTCCTCGAGCAGTGTATGGGGCAGTGGAGTACGATCCTTTGTCATCTGGGCGAGCGGATGATGGCTGCGGAGAACCACATAAGGATAAGAAGGGGTATCTTCCAGGGCGATTGTCTGAGTCCAATATGGTTCTGCCTCTCTCTGAACCCTCTCAGTACCTTACTGGAGGGCTCCGCGAGGGGATTTCAGCTACGGAAAGGAGGGACAAAAGTAACCCACCTTTTCTATATGGATGACCTCAAGTTATTCGCCTCCAGTCGCTCCCATCTTATGGAATTATTAAACATCACTTGTGAATTTAGCAATTCCATTGGAATGGAGCTGGGGACGGATAAGTGTGTGGTCCTCCATGTTGAGATGGGTAGGGTTGCTAACTCTGAGGGCATAGACTTATCTATGCCCGTCAACTTAAGGACCCTTTCCGAGGCTGAAACATACCGATACCTGGGTATGTCACAGAACATTGGTATCGATGAGGCTGGTATGAAACAGTCAGTTTGCGACGTGTTTTATGCACGCTTGACCAAAGTGCTTAACAGCCTTTTGTCCGGTGTGAATAAGACACAAGCATATAACGGCTGGGTCATGCCTGTCCTCATGTATACCTTTGGCATACTCAGGTGGACTCAGACTGAACTTAACGCCCTGGATAGAAAAGTCCGCACTACCATGACGTCCCACAGGATGCATCATTCGAGATCGTCGGTAATGAGGCTGTACTTGCCGCGAAAGCATGGTGGGCGTGGCTTCTTGAGTGCGCTCACCATGCATAATCGCGAAGTGTGCAGCCTCCGTAATTACTTCCTGGCGAGATCGGATGATCCATTCTATAAGGACGTCATTTCTTGTGATAAAGGACTTACCCCTCTATCCTTAGCCAACGAGCAATGGCAAGACCCGGCAGTGCAGACAATTTCCGACCGGGAGACCGTATGGAAGGAGAAGGAGCTCCACGGGAGGTTCTATAAGTCTCTACATGGGCCTTTCGTAGACACAGTAACCTCTCTCCACTGGCTACGCTTTGGTGACCTCTTCGGGGAAACCGAGGGTTTTGTCTGTGCAATACAGGATCAGGTTATTAAGACCAACAACTATCGGAGATACATCCTAAAGGATGGCACCATCGACATTTGTCGAGCTTGTCGCCATCCCGGTGAGTCACCTAGGCATGTCATCTCCGGTTGTTCGGCGCTTTCTAACTCTGAGTACTTGCACAGGCACAACCTAGTAGCCAGAATTCTACACGAGGAGCTCGCTCTGAAATACGGTTTCGTGGCTCGGAAATTGCCGTATTACAAGTACTTGCCGGAAGCCGTGCTCGAAAATGATCGCGCCAGGCTCTATTGGGACCGGGCCATCATCAAAGACAGGACTATTCTTGCGAATAAGCCTGATATTGTGCTGATGGACCGGGCACAGTCAAGGATATTTTTGGTCGACATTACCATTCCATGTGACGAGAACCTCGTGAAAGCCGAAACAGATAAGTAAACAAAATATCTGGTCCTGGCTCACGAGGTGACCGACATGTGGGGTGGTCTGCCGACCGAAATTATTCCTGTAGTCGTCTCTGCAAACGGACTAATCCCAGTCAGCCTCTCGGGTCATCTGAGGCGGCTGGGACTACGTGGCGGACCGCTCCAGGCTCAAATGCAGAAGGCTGTGCTCCTCGATACCGCCCGCATCGTCCGCCGGTTTCTTTCCCTTTCCCCCTAACCCTCGGCCGTTTGGTCTCCCCTGCCGAGGGCTTCCATCTGGTTGGGCTTTTATTTATTTATGTATTTTCATATTTATTTTATTTTATTGATATTTTTGTATATTTATCTTTTCATTTTCGTTTATATTTTTATTTATATTTATACATCCCAACCAGATGAGAAAACTATATTGATACCCCCCAATAATAATAGTACTTGCACAGGCACAACCTAGTAGCCAGAATTCTACACCAGGAGCTCGCTCTGAAATACGGTCTCGTGGACCGAAATTTGCTGTATTACAAGTACTTTCCAGAAGCCGTGCTCGAAAATGACCGCGCCAGGCTCTACTGGGACCGGGCCATCATCACAGACAGGACTATTCTTGCGAATAAGCCTGATATTGTGCTGATGGACCGGGCACAGTCAAGGATATTCTTGGTCGGCATTACTATTCCGTATGATGAGAACCTCGTGAAAGCCGAAACAGATAAACGAACAAAATATCTGGACCTGGCACACGAGGTGACCGACATGTGGGGTGGTCTGCCGACCGAAATTATTCCTGTAGTCGTCTCTGCGAATGGGCTAATCCCAGTCAGCCTCTCGGGTCATCTGAGGCGACTGGGACTCCGTGACGGACCGCTCCGGGCTCAAATGCAGAAGGCGGTGCTCCTCGATACCGCCCGCATCGTCCGCCGGTTTCTTTCCCTTTCCTCCTATCCCTCGACCGTTTGGTCTCCCCTGCCGAGGGCTCCCATCTGGTTGGATCTTATTTATTTATGTAGTTTTTGTGTTTATTTTATTTTATTGATATTTATGTATATTTATCTTTTCATTTTAATTTATAATTATATATTTATAGAACCCAACCAGGTGAGAAAATTATATAGATACCCCAATAATAATTTTATTTCAGACCATGGTCCATATATTGTTAGTAATGTTGTTAGTAACAATATTGGCTTAAAACTATGTTAGTATTGTAAGTAATTACACATTATTTTAATCCTCTCACCCAGTGATTTTGTATGGGACAGTCATATCTTACAGATATCGCTCTCAGGATGCTGTTATTACTGTTTCGTAAGCGTTGCAAGAGTGAGGCTGTTTTCTTCCGAATGATCGCTGAAAAAGTGTCAGTACGCGCTTGTGCAAACATACCTGATGCACTGCAATGCCACGGCAGCCGCAACAACATCCTGAAAGCGTTATTATACTGTACGCGCAGAGCATTGTAAGCTCGACGCTTATATGTCACCCACAGGGCACTAGAGTAAAATGATTGACAAAACGCTTTGAACAGCGTTATTTTAACTGTATCTGTACATCTAGTGAACCTGCGAGCCAGCATATTGGCTCTCACTGTCAGCGCCCTGCGCTCCCTTTCTACGTCCTCGTCATCCCGGAGGTCTGCTGTCACAATGTGACCCAAATATTTAAAACTGTCTACCAGCTTTAGAGGCACCCCATCGAGGGCTACTGGCGGCACACGGGAGGGCTGGTGTTTGCCTGCTTTGAACACAAGAAGTTGGCTTTTGTTAGCGTTATATTTAAGCCCGTGTGCTTCCGCATATGTCTCACATATTGACAATAAAGTCCTCAGTGCATTGATTGAGGGACTCAGCAGCACCATGTCGTCAGCATAGCTTATATTATTGAAGCAGACATTTATTACTTGAGAAAGTTAAGTTCGGTTTCCGCCGGTGTCAATGAAATTTGTACTTTCTTAAATGATGTAATTTTAGAGCTGATTGTATACATTTTGAGGACACTACATGGAGTAGCCCGGCTGATTAACATTTATATAACCCCATCAAAAATAAGTATGTCTAATAATGGGACGCATACAGGCTGTAACTTTAATATTTTAAGCAACCGAAACTAAATTCCTAGTGGCAGTGTAACTAAAACCTGTTCGAGGACGGAAAGACATCGTGAGATAAGATGCATGTTTATCAAATTAAGAATAATTTCTAGATATGTAAAGTACGTACATACACTAGGACTAGGTCGATCAATAAGTTTTTGGAAACGCAATGAAAGTCCAGGTTACAATATATGTAAATTGTATTTATTTTCAACGTAATTGGTATGGAGTGTAGAAGTAAGGAGTACAGACTGTGTATTAAAAAGTGTCCATAGAAAACCATTAAATAAGGGTGGCGCCACTATAGCTACGGGGTAAATTTTAAAGAACATGCCGAAAAATATTAGTGGGATAAGCGACTTTTTCGAAGTTATATTTATTAAATAAAATTATTTTAGATTTTAGAGCTACTGAGCAGTTTAGCAGCACACTTCAAACCGTCGACAACTGCTAAGTTCATTTCGTTCCAGTAGCTACTCCAGCGCTGTTGTGGAGAGTTTTTGAGATGTTATTTACTGCTTACAGATGGCCACTTTTTCAACTATTCTACTATGAGAGTTGGTACTCCTTACTTCTACACTCCACAGTAATCGGCTTTTAATTACGAATACACCTTGAATAGCTTTTTGTAAGTTGGTTAACCCTTGCAAAAAAGACTTGACCTTAGGATTCGTAAAAGGCCTCTACAGCACACGTCACCTCATCGCCGTTGAATTTTATACCACAAAAAGCATTACAATGATGCAAAAGTACCCCAGCACGAAATTTTTCTCGGTTTTTGTTCTTTAGTTCTTGTTTTTTTTGATTAATGATGCCTAATATTCTTCAGTTATTGTATCTCCTTTACTTAAATGGTCGATCATTATTATACCTTCCGCATTGCAAGTCCTATTTTTGCATATATTTGCAGATAACAGAGGCCATTTTTTAAACGGACGCAGACACCTTGAATCTCTTAGTTGGCGGAGAAGGCAGTCTTTTATACACCTTGCTTTGGTTTTTCATCTCCGGGTCAGAACGGTGTACCCACGTTTAATTTACAATTACGAAACGAGTTCAAAAAGAATCTGGATCTTCTTCATTTATTTCTAAATTTAACTTTGAAATGT